TGTGTGTGTCCCGTGCCCCCTGCAGACATCAACGAGTGTGACAACTCCCCGTGTGATCACACGTGCGTCAATACGGTGGGCAGTTACCAGTGCACGTGCTTTTCCGGCTTCAGACCTGAGGGAGACAGATGTGTGGGTGAGTAGGGGTATGTGTGGGTGAGTAGGGGTATGTGTGGGTGAGTAGGGGTATGTGTGGGTGAGTAGGGGTATGTGTGGGTGAGTATTGGGATTTGTGTGTGAGTAAGGGTCTCTCAATGTAAAAATATTTTCCCGGCTGGCTTAGCCCTGTCCGTGCAAGATGGACGAAGAAATATTTCAGTGGATGGTTTCATATTGGTCGAGAAAACGAAGGCTGAACAGACGCCTTTGCTGGGGCAAGTCTTTTCAGAAGAAGAAAAATGCCTTTCATATTACTGAAGGACTATCCGGGTATCCTGTTCGATGAACGGACTCGAAAGAATGGATCGTCAAGACATTGTGGGATCAGTGCACGCACTCTTAATCTTTGTGAACGGAAGCCTCACTTGTTTACAATGGCTTCTTAGAAGACGGACTTTCCCAGGATTAGATCTAAACGAAACTAATGAAAATCTGAAAATTAAACTTGAGTGACTTCAGGCTCCTCAATAAAACTGTGCGCCCTTTAAATGATTCTGAACCACCGTTAATTTTGTCCAATTCGAAAGTTAAGTGGTTCCAAAGTTTTACCCTCACCACTCACTACACAGTTCAAAGGGTGAGCCCGTCTTGAGATGATCTCAAGACCAACTGAACGCGATCTCAAGATGATCTCAAGATGATCTCTAGACCAACTGAACGCGATCTCAAGATGATCTCAAGATGATCTCAAGATGATCTCTAGACCAACTGAACGCGATCCCAAGATGATCTCAAGATGATCTTTAGACCAACTGAACGCGATCTCAAGATGATCTCAAGATGATCTCAAGATGATCTCAAGATGATCCCTAGACCAACTGAACGCGATCTCAAGATGATCTCTAGACCAACTGAACGCGATCTCAAGATGATCTCTAGACCAACTGAACGCGATCTCAAGATGATCTCAAGATGATCTCAAGATGATCTCTAGACCAACTGAACGCGATCCCAAGATGATCTCAAGATGATCTTTAGACCAACTGAACGCGATCTCAAGATGATCTCAAGATGATCTCAAGATGATCTCAAGATGATCCCTAGACCAACTGAACGCGATCTCAAGATGATCTCTAGACCAACTGAACGCGATCTGAAGATGATCTGAAGATGATCTCAAGATGATCCCTAGACCAACTGAACGCGATCTCAAG